TTCTTACAGCTGGGGAACAGCATTGCCAAAGGACATCAGGTGCTTCACCAAAAAGCAGAGACAGTGCCTTCAGTGCAGCCCCTCCATTCATTGCCCAGCAGCCACTGTGCTGCCTGTGTCACAGAGCATTATCTACCAGACTTGCAGCACCTGCAGGTGCACTTCACTGCTTTTGGTGTGCATGTGTGTATTCTCTTAGATTTGCTCCAGTAACTGAGTCAGTAAAACGTCCTCTGAGAATCCTTCAAATGCCAATAAGCAGAATAAAACATTTCAGTTTACCTTTTTGAGGTAAATTGCTTCTCTGGAACACATTACTGCAGGACATTTTAAACAATAAGCTTCACCTACTGCTGAAGAGCATCTCTAGTGCAAAGATGAGAGCGCTGCAATCATAAAGCTGCTAAATAATTAAAGGCTGTGCTGTAAGACTAGAGGTAGAAGAACTGCCATTTACCACAGCAATAATTCCAGCAGGACTCATAAGCGCTTTCGACGAGCAGTAAAGGACAGAACAGAACAGGCTGGTGACTGCTAATCACAGAGAATTATTTTCCCACTTACCAGGTCCAACTGGCATCATTCCTGGTGGGGGTGGGCCCATCATTGGCATCATTGGTGGTCCACCCATGTGGGGGGCCGGCATCATGCCAGGCCGCGGGGGGCCAGCTGGACACACACAGATCAGTTAGGTGCTCTCCTCAGCAATGTGCCATTTCAAACAGTTATTAACCTTCACAGGAAATGTCAGCAATTCCAATAACTTCCATTGTTTTACAACTGCCTGCCTTCGTTTTCAGTTTCAGCTTTGACTTCAGGTGCCAGATAGAGAAGCAAAGAATAGCCCAGCTATTATTTCCAACTTTGCATATTTAATGCAAGTAACTGCCACAGCCAGGCTCTGCACAAAGGGATCTCAACCATTTGCCAATCACAGGGCAAAACAAGGTTATCAATCTTACGTTATTATAGAAAAACCCCACTGTGCTGGAAGTTTTCATGGTTATCTGCACAGCAGCTATCAAGTAATGAGGGAGCACACGATTCTCTTGGTGCACTCAGCATTACTAAGGCACAACAACCCGAAGATCTTGCAGTGCATTCCCTTACATTCCAATATTCACGAGCTCAACGCTTCCTTGCTCGATCCCAAGCTAAGAGGACTTTTCTTGGCAAGCCCAGGAAACACAGAACGCTGCTAAAGAGGTCTGCCATTACAGCCCAAAAGCAGGGACTTACGGATGCTGGGAGGCGGTGGGATCATGGCTCCTCCAGGAGGTGGTGCTGAGAATGGGGTCGGTGGAATTTTCCCTTGCTGAAATGCAGCCGCTACATTGGGGGGGAAAAAAAAAAGAAAAAAAAAGAGAAAGAATCCCAGAAGAAAACACAGTTACTAAGCAGAGGAAGCTCCTGCCTCAACGCTCCTTCCCACGGCCAGCACTCAGAACATACTTAGCGTCGTGGTGCAACTCATTTGTTCTTACTCTGGAACAAATCCCTGGTTTACACTGCTTGTCAAGATGGAAGCACCTGATATTCCTGAAGACAGTTATTACAGTAATTACTCCAGCTGAGACTAGAGAGCTCCATGATGAATTTCACACACCTACTGTAGTAGATAGCAGAGAAAATATGTCACATGATTTGCAGCTGTAACTTTTCACCTAGGATCATTAGATTAATCCATGTTATCTTGAGAAAAAGCAGGTGACAAAAAGCACGGAAAATATCTAGTGTGAAAGGGAAAAGAAGAAACTCAAGAGACTGGAGTTGATCAAAAAGAAGGCCAAAAATGCGACAGCTGGAAGCATCTAAAGAAGAAAGTTGCCATTAAGGTGAATTTGGCACTTCTATTTATCCCATTCAGACTGAAAAGAATTTGTATTAGGGAGACAGCTTAGAGGAGATGAATCCCCAACACTGATAAAGGAAACTTTATTGAAGCCTACAGCAGTGAGGGAGGAAAACAAAAACAACCAAGGACACTTTCACTATCAAAAAAACTTGACCCTAAGGGTGTTAGTTTACAACTCAGCAGCCTGAGATAGAAAGTCTAAATCACTGACCACAGGCCTAGCTGTGCGCTCTGGCAGCTCATACATTATGAGCAGTGCTAAAGGTGGGTGTAACCACAACCACCTCAGCAACACTAAAACTTTAACTGCTGCAGGGCCCATCACACAGGGCTCCATCTGTCACGCAAAGATCACGCTGGGATGAGTTCAGATTCTAAGTCACATTTTCATTTGTGTTTCACAGAATAACCAGGGAAGTTATGTTGAATCAGCACAGGAAAAAAGGAAGGAAAGCACTTAAAGACAGAAGCAAAAGCAAAGCACACCAAGATCACAAAAGGATTCGTCTTACTTGTTTTATCAATCAGGCTCTGAGCTTGTTCCTCCATCCATTTCTGATAGTAGTCTTTCACATTTTCTTTGTGCTTTCGGCCACTGCAGTGAGTTTTTCTCACGGAGGGCTGAGAAAGATCACATAAACCTAAAGCTCACAAAACACCACGTAACACCACAATTTCTAGGAACTTTGACACAGCTATCTCCTTTGCAAGCATAGAACAGATTGGTTTTTGTGTGCAGGGAGAGGAAAAGTGCAGCACAACCGTTATATATAACTGCCTTATATATAACATATATATAACTACCATGATCAAGACTCAAGTTTGAGCACAAAGCATGCTAATGCTAAGCCAGCTGCCTCCTACTAATATAAGAGTTGTTGAATATTTCTGGCACACCTATTCCTCCTCTTTCTTTCTTTCTGCTATGACAAGCAAGCAGAACACCTCAGCATTTCAAATAACTTGCTTTTACTCCGTGCAAGTTTCACTTTGGTACAGTCAGAACCAAAGATGAAGGCTCAGTACTCACCGAATCATGGGTGAGGTACGTGTCACAATAGTCACAGTAAAACCTGGCGGGAGAAAAGGACCCGTTAGCGACGGCACCTCACGCTGTGGCTGTTACAGCACAGCCCTCCACAGCCGCAGCACAGCGGCTCTCAGCGCTCTGCACCACCGGGACCCACCCTCCATCTTCCCACACTGCCAGAGAGCGGAACCAACGCGAGCTCCTAACCCCCCCGCTGCCGAACCAGGCGGCTTCGAGCCCTAACAGACCCCAGAAGCCCACAGCCCCTCCCGAGGCCGTCCCGCCTTCCTGCCCGGTGCCGCGCTCACTTGGGCATGGTGCTCCCCGCGCGCCGCCGCCAGGAAGTGACGCAATCAGACGGCGACACGGCAGCTCCTTCCGTCACGTGACCCCGGCGAGCCCACAGGATGCTCGGCGCGCTCTCGACGGTGGCGCGAGAGGGACAAACGATGCAGCGCGGCTGCTTTGCGTTTCCTCAGCGCTCGGAGCAGCGGGATCCCCGGCTCTGCCCGTATCCACATCTGTGCTTGAATCACTAAACCACAGGGTCATGAAATGACCCGAGCTGGGAAGGACCGTAGGGTCCAACCCCATCTCAACGCAGCACTATCCAAACCCAAACTCAATGGCTGAGAGCAACGTCCCAATACCCCTTGAGCTCTGGCAACTTGGAGCTGTGTCCACAGCCCTGGGAGCCGTGCCAGTACCACGAGTGAGGTTCCCAGGCAGTGGTGCGGTCCTGGCACTGTGCCTAGAGAAGCTGTGAGTGCCCCATCCCTGGGGTTGCTAAAGACCAAGCTGGATGGAGCACTGGATATCTGGTGGGGAGCACTCAGACCATGGCAGGGGAGTTGGGGCTGAATGGTATTTAAACTCCTTTCCATCACAGAGCCATCTGTGATTTAAGGCCCCTTTTTCCACAAAGCCATCACAGAGCCTTCAATCACAGAGCCATTCTATGATCCTGTGGTTGAACCCAGGGCTTTCCAGACACCATGGAGGTAGGCAGGTGCTTGGCACAGCCACGTGGACACAGCCCTGCCACCGCAGTCTGTATCAGCATCACAGATCACAAGATCCAGCATAAAACACAGGCGGTGACAGCGTGACCCTGCTTGCTGGGGCTGCAGGGACAGGGGCAGCACTACTTACTAAGTCTTACAGCAAAGAACGAGCACTGCAAGACAATATGCTCTATTCATTTTGCTTGTAATCCCACTGTTTGTTTTTCTGTGCAGTCTCCACACTGACCCTCACCCCCCTGTACAGCCGCTACTCATTTCTACCCACACACCCCAACACAAGGGTGGCACTGTCAGAACAAAACCGCCCTGCACAGCACTACAAAGCCCTCAGCTGGGCCTGTGTTTAGAACGCCTTTTGTAGCTTAGCACACTTATGTTAAAGCCCAGCATGTCTTAAACAGTCAGAAATGAAGGCATAATGGCCTGTGCTCGCCCTGTCAGTGCTGAAGGGTGGTCAGGGCCTGTGTTTGAGACATCACATAGGTTTCCCACGTGAGACGCTGAGGTCAGGGCTCAGTGCGCGGAACTGCCACCATAAAATGGGAAACTTTAGCAAAAAGCGACACTTTGAGGGGAATTCAGGCAAAAAACAGCATTTTGAGGAAAATTCCAGGCCCGAAGGCGCACAGCCGCCCCGCCGTCCCAGCAGCCCTTGCGCCGCCCCGCAGCTCCCGGTGATGTCACACGGCCCCGTCCGCACGTGACTGATTTGCATACATAAACACGCGGCTCGCCTCCCGCGTCGCCTCCATATATGGGAACGTGCGGCTGGGGGGGGTTATGCAAATCGCCTTCCTTTCCACCGCTCTCATTGGCTGCGCTGCGCCCTCGCGTCACGCCAGGCGTACGCCACGCTCTCATTTGCATCCACTCCCCGCTCGCCCTTGCGGTTCCCCTTCCGCAACAGAACAGCGCCGTGCAGAGCGCGGGGAAACGCTGGCGCGGTGGCGTCACAAGCGCGTGCGCCAGGGCGGAGCGGCGCATGCGCAGTGCCGTTAGCGCCTGGCGTCGCCCGCGCCCCCTCCCCCCCGCCCCCCGCCGTGCCCGCGCTCCCCCCTCGCCCCCATGCGGCGCTGAGGCGGCGGCGGCGGCAGCGGGGCGACCCCGGGGCGGCGGGGCGCGCTTCGCCATGGAGGGCATGGACGTGGATTTGGACGCGGAGCTGATGCAGAAGTTCAGCTGTTTGGGTACTACCGACAAGGACGTGCTGATCGGCGAGTTCCAGAGGCTCCTCGGTTTCCAGCTTAGCCCGGCCGGCTGCGCTTTCTTCCTCGACATGACCAACTGGTGAGGGGCCGGGGGGCGGCTAGGGGTCGACGGCTTGAGGAGGCCTCGGCCCCGGGTTGGGGTTGAGGGGGGCAGGGAGAGGCCTCGGCAGCGGCGCGGGCTGCAGGCCCCGCCGTGGGAAGGCGGCGGGCCGGGCTGCTGCCGGCGAGGGGGGAGAAGGGCTGTTAACGGAGATTAGTGGGGGGGATTTGGGGCTGGGGAAGCCTTAAAGGGGCATTTCTGGGCGAGGCTGCGTGGGGCCGGGTCGTTAAAGAGGGAAGAAGGCTGAGCGGAGGGGTTGTGAAGCTCCCTTGGTCTCTCTGCTCGCACACGGGGCTAGCCGAGCCTTTTCCTTGTTGTTTTTCTTGATTTTGTGAAGGCTCTTTGTGGAAAGCAGAAGTGCAGGTAATGGGGGAGGCTGCAGCTGGGGGGAAAATGTGAGAAAATGGAAAGCGAGGAGTGAGAGTGGCGTGGGGAAACCCGGCGGCTGTAAGAGCGCGGTGGGGCTGCTGCCGTCCGACGTGTGGGGTTTCCTCGTTATTGTTGCTCGCACCTTTAAGCCCACCGCTGATAGCAGTCCGGTGAGTTGGCTCACATCTGGGTTAGTGCCCTTCTTGTTGTTTACATCCCGTCCCCGCGAAGGATGCGGGGAGGTGAAGCGCCCTGTGTTTCAGAAATTATTAACAGCAGATACTGAGGCGGACTCTGCTTTACCCATTAACAGCATAAAATGAACTCCAGAAACTTCCAGTTTGAAATTGGGAGTCTGAATTGAAAGCCTGGATAGCAACAGTTGAGAACAAAACGAAACTTGTGTGGAGTTGCTGAACTAATAAACAGAAATATGGTGAAGCAGTCAACTTCGTCTTTTCACTTCTTTCACTTTTCCTGCAGCCCTATAGTAAATACTGCAAATCTGCTTCTGCAGAAGGAGTAAGGGAATAACAAATAATACAATTACAAGCTGATGTGATGTAAAATAAGGCCTCAGCTCTAGAGGAGTTCAGGAGTTTGCTTTGGAGAAGTGGTGCAGGGCAGGAAATGCTTTCCTGCCTCATTCATGTGGTCTTGATAACATGAGTAACGCTACCTGTGCTACATGTGACACTGTGACACTGCTGTTGTGGTATGGGTTTTTTGTTGTTTTTGCTGTTCTGTGATGTTCCTGGGGAGAGGAAACTCCAGCAGAAGCTGGAAAGTGACTGGTGGGGTTACTGTGTATAACCCCGGTGTTCCTGGTTTGTGCTGAAGTGCTGCTTTCCTTTGTAGGAGTGAAGTAACAGTAGCTTCTGTACAACCCCTTGAGCCTCTTTGTTAAACATTACATATTTGATTACAGTTGAAGAATCATGGAATCACCAGGGTTAGAAAAGGCCTCCAAGATCACTTTGTCCAACCAACCACTGAACCCTGTCCCTCAGTCCCATGTCTCCACATCTCTTGAGCACCTCCAGGGATGGTCTTCAGTGATCAGAATGGCTTGGATTTCACAACTCCGGCAGCAAAAAATTTGATAGCGTGATTTCTTTAATTAGGATAAGTTAATTAGCCCTGTTGGCTGGGGGTGTGCATGCGTAAAAAAAAGAACTCTTTTAACTTGGTGTAACACATCCAGCAGTACAGGAGGATCAGCTGGGGCTCTTGCAGTGGGCTTGCAGCCTGTGAGGTGTAGCCTTTCAGCAGCCCAGGCTCGGGCCAGCCGTGCTGACAGGTGCTGCTGGTTCTCCTCGGGTGTCTGTGCCAGGATGCTGCTTCCCTGAGCTATGGGTGCTGTACAGCTTCTGTCCCATTCCCAGCTCCCACCTCGCTGCAGTGTCGGCCTGAATGTGCCAATCCTGTTCTGTGCTGTTGCAAAAAGCTTCAACCAAGCCACGTTTCCCTTTTCTGGATGCACCTTTCCTTTGTTATGTCGAAGGACTACATGGAAGTCAGTGCTGTAATCCACTCTACTCGAGGTGATGTTGGGCAGCGGCACAACAGGAGATTTCTTGGTGTAGAATGAGGGTCTGAATCTTTTACCACCATTCTCTCCTGCAAATAATTCCTCTCAGTGACACCATCAAATCACTTTTTTTTTTTTTTTTTTTTTTTGCTAAAGCTGCAGCACTGCAGTGATATTTCCTCATTCTCTGTGTCAGAATTAATGCTGGTGTGCAGGAAATGGTGAGGAGGTCACAGCAGGGCTTAGGGCACTTGTTTGGTGCCTGAGCTCTCATTAGATATGTTCTTAGAGACTAATTGGACAAAAACTTTCTTCGTAAATGTAGCAGCCTGCTCTTTGATAATGATACAGTCAGCAGGCCTGAAGCTACTTCCTTGTTGTAGGCCTTTGAGATGGTGCTGTGTGTAATCTGTAATGTGTTTTGAAATAATATTTCCAGTGTATTCATTAGGAATTGCATTTAACACTTAAAACAAATGAGCAGTTCTGCTGGGAGGGGCGAGTTATCTGAACACTGCTGTTCTCAGATCTCTGGGGCAAAAGAGTGGTTTGATGATGGTGAAGAAACACAGAGGAGCCTTTAAAAGTGAGCCCACCTCTCCAGCTCACCTGGAGTCGCTCAATGTGCTCCCCAGGTATTTTTCAGGCTCAGGACAGTGCAAAGAAACTGCCAGCTGATTTCACTGGCGGTGCTGCAGGAATGCTCCAGGTGAACGCATGCGTCTGTAGTTTCTGAGTCTGCTCTTTGATCTTCAAGAAAGACAGGTTAAATGCTTTGAGTTGTCTTTTTCCCTGTTGTTTATTAAACACTTTCCTAGAGCTGTGCCTCTTTGGAATTACAGCCCGAATTCTGACTGTGGGCTGTTCTGACTGCTTGTGTTTCTGCTAAGGCCCTCTCACGGGTCCTGGTTCTAATAGAGCAGCAAGCACGGGCTCCCTGTTGTCATTTATTTACTGTTCAAAGTCCTGGAGTTTGGGTTAAAGGTTGAACTTTGGCTTTTGGTGTAAAACTAAAAGTGAACTTTTCCAACAGGTGCTTTGGCACCAAAACATTCCTTCTCCAGAAGGAGAACAGAGGCTGAGGGTGTTTTGCTGCCACTGCATCTGGGATGAAACCCCCCCTGCCTGGCACAGCACGCCCCAACCTGCAGGCACACCGCTGGGCTCAGTGGGATCCCAGCAGAGATGTGCCACAGGCTGCCCAAAGAGGCTGTGGATGCCCCATCCCTGCAGGCATTCGAGGCCAGGCTGGATGTGGCTCTGAGCAGCCTGGGCTGCTGGTTGGTGACCTGCACGCAGCAGGGGGTTGGAAGGAGATGAGCACTGTGCTCCTGTGCAACCCAGGCTGTTCTGTGTGTGCCGAGGTGAAGCTGTAGTGCTGACTGCAGCTCCCTGCGCTGTGGCTGGAGCGTGTCTGAGCCTGCACAGCTCGGTGCATTTCACTCTTCCTACAGCAGAAACTCCTTTTGAGAAGTTATTTTCTTAAAATTCGGGCTTGTTTTATGTCATCAGCACTGAATGAATCTGCACTTGAATACCTGCTCAAGGCTTTTAGTGCAGGAGCAGTGCAGGGACTCTGGGTGGCTGGGATCAGGGTGTTTGGAAGTGTTCTTAAATGGCAACCAGCACTGGTCATCAGCACTAAGGATTGGTGTGAGCGTAGGAGCAGAGGAGGCTTTGCACAGCACGTGTGTATGGTTGGTTTTTCAATTGTCTGTGCCCAGTAAAGAGCCATTTCTTAAAAGACATTGGATTCTTTCCAAGCTGGTATGGGAACTGTATTGTGAAAAGGAAGAGGGGATTTCATTTGTTGGCTGCTATACCAAATTAGAGGGTGAGAGGTTGCCGAGTAAAACTTGGAGCTTCTTCAATTCCCTGGGAAAGTGAATTAATTTGATTTGAAGTATCTGGTGGTGCTGGATTGAACATCTTTGTGCAGCACACTTGGCTGCGAAGGGGTTCCTAATTTGGAAGGTTTATTTTTGTGTGCACGTTCCAATGATTTACAAGCAGTGTTTGTTTACGCTTTCATTTTTGTTGGGAAAGCTGAGTTCTGTTATTCTGCTAGGTGTGATGCTGCATTTAATGGTGGAGTGCCACATATTGATGGTTTGCATTAGGTTTAAAAAAAAAAAAAAAAAGCCCAACATTTTATTGTTGCTGCAAGTCCTCATCTTGTTTGATCTGGCTTCTGGTGGCAAAAGTCTCCATAGGGTCCTCCTTAAGGTAGATCTCTTCTAGAGGTCCCCTCTTGTCTTCATTCTGAGAACTTGCAGCTGTAGGCTGGTTTCATCTGCTGACATATTTCTGTGCTTTGGTTGATGATACAGAGCTCTAATCTGCGTTCTGTTGATTGCAGAGAAAAGGTTGAATATTGACTTCTGACAAAATTAAAATTGCCTTAAATTGTTGTTTTTATCCCCTGGGTTGGCTGTTGGGATGCTCAGTGTTGAATGAACCACCTGTATTGCTCAGAAGTGGGTGTGCTTGACTGCAGGTCTCAAGGCATGTTTGAGCTGGTGATGGCCTTGTAATTGCTTTTGGTCTGACTTCAGGTGCTTCTGCTTTCTAGCAAAGATGTTAGGAACCTTCGCTCAGGAAACCTCAGATCTGTGCATGGAAGCATGTGTGAACACTTGAGATGGAGTGCTGGGGTGTTGTTCAGACCCTCAAAGTACGGCTAGGTGAAACATTGGGGCGTAATTTGACATGAACAATCAATCATCAGAAGCTATTTGCACACAATGCATTTCCCGGTAGCAGTAGCCCCTTGGTTCCCCTGCTCCTGATATCCAGGCTGTGCTTTTTTATTTGATGAACACCTGCATTCAGGTTGTTAACAGACTCGTCTGCTTTGCTGAGATCTTCAGGCACTTTGCAAGAAGAGCTGGGGTTTGAAAAGCTCCAGCTCAGGTACAAGCAGGTCACCAGGTGTTGTCCAAAGCTCTTCAGCCCCTCCCAGCTTAATGTAGCCAGGTGGTTTTTTTTTTTGTGCTTGCTGTATTTAAAAGACTTGCTGGTACGAAATGCAGTCATCTTTCATTTGAGCCTCCAAATAGCTATGCTTCCAACATGTATG